TGTTCAGGCTCCCCTGGAATCCCTGTAAAGTTCTTGCAACCAGAGCATTGTCTGTCAAGGAATTGCAGGTGTCACCCACCATAGTTCTTTTCAAAACCATGCTCTTACTAATGTCATTTGATCATCTGTAGTTCTCGTACAGAAAGACAGGCATGAAAAATCAGTTCTTATCCCTATCCACCCTTCTTATGTCATGTATGATTTTTGTAAACCTCTGTTATATTCTCCTTAAGAAGGCTGGAGAACATTTCCAGTCAGACCTTCCAGAGCTTTTGATCATCCTTTTTTGTCCTCCTCTGCACACATTCTGGGTCTAATATGTCATTTTTCAGGTGAAAGATCCAGAGGTGTATATCTTAATCATGGTGTGGGTGAACCCATAATTTCTACAGTGGCATAATGTTACCCACTTTGTTCTTTATGCCTTTCCTAAGAATTCATAATGTTTTACTTGCTTTCTTGACTTCTGTCAACTGCTCTGATTCTTTGCTAACCAGTACATGATGACTTTCCAAGACCTTACTTGGCTTAGCATGGCGCTCTTCTCAGTCTTTACAGTAACATGACATCAACCTACTTTGGTGTCATAAAATGTCAGGTAAAAAACAGAGTCATATTCTTAGTCCTCCTAGAATCTACTCCATACCTTCTGTTTTTCCCCTCATTTATGGAAATGTGTATTGTATCACCAGAAGAATATTAGTATTTTCTTCATGGTGGGAAAAGTCCTTTGTTGAGTTGTGGTTTTTTTTCAAAATGAGGTATTAAAAAATTAGAGACTTCATAGTCCTTCTCAGCATAGGTAATGATATAGATACAACACATGTATTTAGAAAAATCTGGTTTTTGGCTTCCTTTTCCAAACTTTCTGGAACTCCTTCTTTCACACCTTTGATAAATTGAGTAGCAGATGATCCTATTGGCAGAGGGAGAATATTGTGAATCATGTTTTGAGGACAGTCTAACATGAGATTCAGTTAGAGGTAAATAACCTGTCATGTAAAATCATTTTCCAAAGTTTTGGGATCTACCATTTCATAGCATGACAGAATCAGAATCCTGTCATAGTGTGGTCTCTGAGACAATGCAGTTTGCATCCATTCCTGAATGGAGATACTGTTACAGAGTCATTTATTTTCAGAGGCTGTCTCCTGCACAATGAAAGGATGTTACCTGGCTTCCCTCTCCAGCCCTCTTTAAATCAGGTCACGTAAAAGTGTAGCACAGAAGTAGCATCCATCTCCATATTATCTCAGCAGTCAGCCATTGAACCTTTATGATCGGCTTATTTTTCCCTGTGACATTCAGACTCCTCCTGGTGCAAAGCTACCTTGCCATATTTGTTCTTAGAAAGGATTAAATCCTGTGGAAGAGCTAACAGGTGCAAATTCAAATCTTCAACAGGCAGATTCTCTCCCATGGATTGAAAATCATTTGAATATCAATTGCTAGAAAATAAGTGTTTAAGGGCAAATACCTTTAGACAACAGCTACACCTACACCTAATGAAATTTGTAAAGATTTGTAAAATTAGAGGTCATACCTACTTTAAGGAATCACTGCTTTCAACAGTGCTTGCCCCAACAGTTTTCTTGTCTCTCAATAATAAGAATTTTAGAGGTTCCCAAGAATTATTTGACACTTCTTTTTAAAGAATTACAAACCAAGCTGTATCTTCTTCTACCTCATTTTTTTCCCACGACTGTGAAGATATAGAAGAAGGACTAGGCCAAATCCTGTGCTCCTTTATAGAACAGTCCACAACAGTGTCCTTGGGCAAGAACCCTAAAAACATGTTTTTCTTCATAGTATTACAGCTGTCTGCTAGAAGTATTGAATCTCATTGATGAGAGTGCAGAATCAATTGTAAAAAGCAACTCAGTCATAAAATAATTCCTCTTTATTTTCACTCTATATTCCAGCATCGTATGAACAGAATTTCTTAGCAGACCTTATATATTCATCATCATTTACTAGACCGGCTATCATAAAGATGTTCAGCTGTTTAAGACAGTTGTAAATTTCTGAAAGGTAACTTGTAAATGCAGCATCCATGTACAACACAAATGTCAGTGATTTCTTGAAAATAAGAGGTCATTGTTAGAAGTATTTCTGTAAGATTCTTAGCAGCTGATGAAAGATTAGTAGTCCCCAGTAGGCTCCATCACTTGTGCTTTGTGCAAGCTCTGAAGTTAAAGGTTATGAGTGCTATGGTACTGCACAGGTGCACCATGAATAGTCTTTCACACAGAATGATTCTTATTTGTTAAATTTGGAAATGTACTTTCTCCTGGCCTTAATTTTTGTGTAGTTCTTCATATTCTAAATGGCAGCTGAAGGCAAGCAGAAATAGTGAGTAATTGATTTAACAACCTAAGACAAGTACAGGGAAGTAGAAAAGTTTGTCTTAGTGCTTGATGTGACCTAAGAGAGCTTCTTTAGACTTCTTTTTATAAACAGTACCTCAGCACCTTGGGCCAGCAAAGTGGCCTTTAAGCCTGAATGAGCATGACTTTTTTTTTTTTTTCCTCAGTGCAAAGCTCCAGTATTTCATCTTTTCAAATTGTTTTACAGCACTCAGAGGAGAATTATATTGACAAGGTTAGAATTCATCTCCTAGAGGAGAATACTGTGCTCCTTCTGTTAAGTGCTAATATAACATTTATATGTTGGTACCTTAATAACAGCCCTGGCTAGCCTAATGAAAGTACTGAAAGCAAACAGTACTCAGTGAGATTTTATTATGACTGAAGTGACTGCAATTTGAGACAAATTATCCCTATTTTTGTTCCCATATCAAAAACAGAAATGCTAAAGCAATTGCTACGTTTGGTATAGAATTAGACTCACTATCGTTAATGTAGAAGTAAGTGCATTTTTCATGTAAATAGCTCACGAGGGTCAAGCATCAAAGATATTCTGTGCAAAATGCTTGTCAATAACTTTGTGAGTGAATTTTGAAATAAAGTGCCTGTAACCTGTCATTATTTCTTCCACTCAAAGTTGAGAGCGAGTGGTTGAAAATTGAGCTTGTGAATTGAAGGCACTGTGAGTTATATGGCCTTATTGACTTCAGGCAAAATGACAGGATTGCCTTGTTATTATTTTTCCTTTCAGAGGTCAGGCAATGAACAATATTACCAGTATATACTGCGGTGTAAGCAAATTGGTATATAAAAAAAGTTATTATCTGTGTACACAAAGACGATGGTGTAAGTCACTACTATTAAAAATGCTTAATATAGTGTCTCAATAAAAATGGAGGAAAAAGTAAGAAAAAAAATCTTCTGGCCAGAATAAGCATTTCAGCTGTTCAACTATTTGAACAGTTGTAAAAAAAGGTGTTCAAAGACCTGATAAATTAATGTAAATTCGTACTTTTTGAGAGTATGTATATCATAAAATGGGGTTGCTTTCCATAAATAGACCTTGGTTTATACATAATAGGAATATGAGTATATGAATTTAAGTATAAGGTAACAGCAGACCTAGATGCATGTACTTGTTTTGGCTGGGATGGAGTTAACTTTCTTCATAGCAACCTGTATGGTGCTATGGTTTAGATTTGTGACCAAAAGAGCATTGATAACACACCAGGGTTTTCAGAAATTGCTGAGCAGTCCTTACACAGTGTCAAGGCTTCCTCTGTTTCTCATGCTGCCCTGCCAGTGAGTAGGCTGGTGGTGCATAGGAAGTGAGGAGGGGACACAGCCAGGCAGCTGTCCTCAACTGACTGAGGGGATATTTCATACTATATGGCATCATATTCAACCATAAAAACTGAGGGGAGGGTCCTTGGGAGGAGAGCCATTGCTCACAGTCTAACTGGTTATCTGTCTGCTGGTGGGGAGGTGTGAGTAATAGCCTTTGCATTGCTTGTTTTGTTTTTCTGCTTTCTTCCTCCCTTTTTTCTTGACTTAGTAAACCGTCTTTAACTTGATCCACAGTTTTTCTCACCTGTGCCATTGGGGAGCGGAGGAGTAAGCAAGCAGCTGTGTGGCACTTAGCTGCTGCATAGGGTTAGCCCTCCACAACGTATTGTTCCTAGTTCAAAGCTCTAAGGTTGTTTTCATTAGTATTCAGATGAAAAAGGATTGCGTACACAGCAAGAGTGCAGGGACAAGTTAATTATTTAGTGAACTCATCTTAGGTTTGTTGAGATTCAAAGGTAATGCTATTTAATGCAATAGGTACAATTAATTTGGGTTGAAATGGATACAAATTCACAATTTCTTCCTCTGTCTCATGGTAGAGCATTTCAGTATTTTGAAACATTATATTCACTTCTTGTACCTGTTAACATGCTACACTGCAATTTATACTAAAATTTTTATTAAAAAAAGTAAGCAGAAAGCCTGTCCCACTTCTTTAATACCATCATAAGAAAATGAACTCGGTTACTCAGAATTAGCTTACCAACTTAGCTGCTTAGATGTGCTGGTTGATGTGAAAACAATTTAAATATACTTTCTAAATGAGCTCTGCTGTTAAGAAAACACGTTTTATCTTCTAAGATGGTTTGTTCAAGATCATTCTGTGGTTCAGAACTATCTGAACTGTATCTTTGCTGTATCTGAACTGTATCTTCAGTACTCCAAATTTTAAAATAAATCTTACGTGCTTTACTAACTCATTTCTGTAGTTTTTGTAGTTTATACCATTTGTATTCTTCAAAGACAAATGGTACAGACAAAAGTTACTGGTTGCAAAAAGACCTTTTTTTTAATTGCAAAATGAGTGAAAAATACATTCTGATCAGCATTTTTTAAATGGTACAGGCATAGTCGTAGTTTGAGATTGCAAAAATGAGCAGATATTAACTGTCAGACAAATTCATAATTGCCCAAGATGACTTTTCAATAGGAAAGAAAATTTAGGGGGAAAACAGACTCCATGAAATAACTGTACTGCACATACTTTGTTGAATGTATCAGCTGAATATGAGCAACATTAATTTCTACTACCTGTGTAATACATACAATATTTTGTTTATCTTTTAGGTTGAAGATTCAGAGGCATATCATGGTGTAACTGCAGTGTGTGGCTTGCTTGCAGTGGTTGTAGTATCTCACCTACCCAGAGATGCTGCCATTGAATGGCATGTTGTTGCAGTAGTTGATGATCCACTCCAAAGAAAACATTTTGCAATGAAGACGTTGTCAGAGGGCTTCCAAATTGAGTGTGAATCTGTGGAGTCTAGTTCTGCATCTTGTGCATCAATCTCCGTACGTCTGAGCTTGGTTTCACCGTCTGCTTCTCAGCTTGATTTAGATGGACCTCTTCATGACTTGGTTGCTGTGTTTAGACAAGCTGTTGAGAAACTGTCAGACGACTGCAGTGCAAGTCCTTTGTCTCTTAGAGCTTTCTTCAAGGAGGATGTCTTTGATGCTGAAACATTACGAACAGGTAAGACTTATGATGACAGAAACCAGCTGTTGATACGAAGCATAAGGTAATTTTTGTTTACTTCTACATAAGGTTTCATTGGAAAGAGACATTTTATAAGTGCCTTTCAAGGATAGGCATGGTTAAGATACGTTTGTTCTTTTTCTGTTTACCAAGCATGCTTCTCATACAGAAAGGCTCTATTCCTGGAAGTTTTGAAGTCCAAATAGGACAAAGCCTTGGATTACTTAGTCTGAGTAGGAGGTTATGTTAGATGATCTTGCTCCAATCTGAGTTACTCTGTCATTCCATGAAAGAGAATTTACTGAGAAATCCAGCCACGTCAGGGTCGAACGTAGGAAGAATTAATCTTTTTGCATAAAAGTCTTTGAACAGTTGTCCATTTGGTAGCCTGTTTTTGTTATGATCTAGAACTATGTTCAAATAACCAAATTCTGTGTGTTAACAGGCACTCTTTTGAGAATAAATAATTAAATATTAATATTTAAAAACAAGAAAATGGTGTTATATCCTCTAGATTAGAGGGTGTCCAGTTTTGAATATGGGCTGATTTCTTACCAACTCAATTAAATAGAACTTGCTAACCAAACAAATTTACTATTTTTTCCCTTTTTTTTTTTTTTGAAATCTCATTCCCTTACCAAGTGAAGAGAATACAGAACAATAAATATGATGTTGCAGCTATAATTTATTTCTTATGTTGTACATCTGTATTTTGGGCTATGCTCAATTTGGGACAAGTAACATTTTGCAAGAGCACAAAAGTTTGTTTCATCTGTCAGGCCTACAAAACTGGTAGACTATACTTGTATTGGAATCAGTAAGAGTTTTGCTATCAATTTGAGAAGAAACAAAATCAGATCCTTGGTCTATATTTATCTCTAACAAGCATGCACTTTAAAAATCCTTGCAGACCACAACTGATCCATATTAATTAGCTGACATAAATGTTAGCCCTCAAATATTCTACTGTCCTATTTTTTTTTCTTAACCTGCAGCAGTTTTTGAGGAAAATTCAACTTGACATTGTTTAATAGATTTAAAGTATAGGAATTGAAAACTATAAAAATGTGGCATAGAATAAGCATATTTAATCCAGGAAGCAAGGAGTGAACATATACTCTGACAGAATGTTGTTGTTTTTACTACATCTTGTTTAAGAGCTAAAAGGAAACCTGATAAAACATGTTCCTGGCATGCGATTAACATTACCATTTTGCCTGCTCTCTTTCTGATATTTCTCAGGTCATAGAATAATTACATACAAATAAATTTTGTTTGATTTATTAAATATATTGCTCAGTAGAATGTATAAATTGTCTGCATAAAAATTTGATTCAGTTCCATTCGTGCTATACTACCAATGGTGTAGACACAGAAAGATTTGTTGTGATTGTCATATATTAATTCTGGTTGTGTTCAGATCTCTGCACTGTCATAATAATTCCTGTCATTACAGCAATTTTATCATTATCCCCACTGGTAAGAAATACATTCTTGCAAATCTGTAGAATATATAGAATACATTAAATTTACAAGTAGCACTAATTCATTGATGAAGAATTTAAAAATCACTTTTTTCTACATAGGAAAAATTTCCATAAAGTTCATGTAATGGGAAGAAGAAATACGCTATATATTTGAAAATAATTTCTCAAATTCAAATAGTTATTGCTGAAGTGTGTCTTACTGATACTTTCAATCTGATATAAGACTATTATATATGTACTGTTTCTGATTCAAAATCAGAATACTCATTTTTAATATGTAGTTAAGACATAGGGACATATTTAAGTGTTCTGCCAGTATGTATCCTTGGAGCCTTGGAAGTCATGTAGCCTCCAGTGAAGCCTCCTCAGCTTTCCAAACAATGCAGCATATTACTAAAATATGTCCTTGACTGTCTTTTGTACTATTCTTATACTTCTCATAATTTAAAATGTACTCACACGTATATATTAAGTCTAATTTTTAAAAGCACTGTATAAGGTCTCCATAAGATGTTCCCATTCATTTCAGTATCCCCTAGACAGTGTCTATACACAAGATGACATAAGCTGTGTTTTATCTTCTCAGTTATTGTTGGCAGTTTTTAATTTTGACTGGCAGAACTACTGCAAATGTGTGTGTCTTTTTAGTGTGCTTCACAGATATAATATACCAGAACTAATATCAGTTCTTTCTTTTGAATCCCATGGTATTTTTAACCTGCCCATAACAGCAGCCCAAGGTGTTAGAGATGGTTAACTTCTGATGACCACAGCTTCTTACAGTTTCTCATGGTGTATTCCTGTATTCCTCTTGAGCATTAAGGTGGTCCTCGTGTTTCATCTATAGCAGCCCATTAACTTGTCAGCCTTCTTCCTAAGTCAGGACTTGGGACCAAGGGAGGAAAAAAGTCATGTTTTACCTTACCCAGAAGTTTAATTCATTACCTGAAACATACATATAATATATTTAGGCAATAATATAAGCTTGTCCTGCTTATGGAATGCATGAATCTGAACATGGCAAGTCACAAGAGGGTACACTACTGGCTTCCAAAATAGCACTGGTTTGTGTCTTGTCAGCTCTGAGCATGGCCAAAACTTGCTCGTACCTGTCTCTGTAGAGTTGCCCTAAGACATTTGGAGTATTTGGATGTCTCTGTGGTGATTTCTTCTGCCTCCAAAGGTTACTTTCTGTTGCAGAGTATGTCCAGGTAGGTATCAGAATTTATTGATGCTACCCATCAGAGAGTTGGTAAAACTGCCTTTCAAACACAGAGGAGCATTTTACTAGGACACAGGATAAGGCAGACACAGGATATTGATCTTGACTTGAAAATCTGAAGGCCTAATACACAGACTTTTAAAAAATATTGTTTCCTCGATGTGGCTACCAGAACACAAATGATATTGAGGAAGCAGTTTTGCAGTTGCCATTTTGTAATTCAGCTCAGGTGGTGCTGGTTGCTAACCATCTATATGATGGTCCGTTAGTGACATGTTTGATCTCCATCATGTGTTAGACATTGTTAATCCCACAAGTAGGTCTGTCCTTTTGGAGTCTTCAGCTACCATCAGATCTATTGCCTGCTGGGAAAAGATAATATTAATAACCTAGCAGGGGATGCTAGACACTGCTATTCAAACATTTTTAATGTGAAACACATCAGACAGTTGTATCTATAATGGAAAAGATAGAAATAATCATGTCTCTGCAATCAAGAGAGATGTTTGAGGAGATAATTGTACCAGTCTTAGCGGATTTCAGGTGGACTTCCATCATGTCATAAGATCAGCCTTCAATAATTCTTGTAAGGTCTTGAATTGCAATGTATTGTCTCATCAAGCAAAAGCATGGAAAAGAAATAAAGTTACCTTTTTCTGATTAAAACTTAAAATCATTGGGGTGAAAGGAGGAAATACTGCCACAGATATTCTCAAATAAGCCTCTGATTAGATGAGTGCTTTTTTTGGTGCAAAGAAATTGTCATTTATTTAAAACTGTCCAAATAAATTAGAGAAATTTGTTTGTACCTGACACAGGAAGATGAGAACCAGGAATATGTACACTCTGCAGATTGTTTCAGGTTATTGGAAGCTGTTATAGTCAGTGTTACTGATGTCAAAAGAAGCTAAAGGTTTGTAATGCAAATTTCAGACAGATAGCCTTCTGTCATCCTAAAACCAGATGTAAAGTTTTATTGAACAAAGTGTAGTACTGATGGTGAACTTCTTGGAGGTAATCCCTCATAACATACGCGAGCATTATGGGCACCGTGCTGAGCCCACAGAACGTGTTAGAAGTAGGAGGATTTGATAAAGCTGACATATGTACTTAGTAAGATGCTGTTAAGCCTTTAGGAGTCCTTAACATAAATTTGACTATTTCTTTCTCATTCTCACTTAAATATGCATTAATATAAACATGTCAGGACAATTTGCTTTTCCATCCAGTTGACTAGATTATACTTCAGCATAGGAAAGAAGAATGTTCATAAGTCATCCCATTATGATCTCACAGACTTGTTGACAGGATGTATGCAAAGTATTTTTGAATATTTATTAGGGAGTAGAAAAGGTCCTGCATTCACCAGAACATCATATTACATAATCCCTTTTAAATACTATAGAAAAAATGAAGTAGGAATATAAAAAGGCAGAAGAGAACAGGAATAGAAAAAGAATCTGGTAGCAGCATTAAAATGAATATATTAGATGTGGCTCTACTCCATAAATGCTTAGGACTAAAAGGCTTTTAGTGCTCATGTGTTTATCTCAGTGATACTGAAAAAATTCCAATATGGATTGATTATAGTTCAACTGGACTGTAGAAAACATTGCTTGAAATGGGACTGTTTCTTCTGTTGAAAGAGAAGCCCTGCTAATTAGGCACTCAGTTAGGAGTCCTTGCACTGACGTAGCAACATGTACAACATACTGCTTTTAAACTAAAGATTTTCCATCTGATAAGATGTAAAGTATTTCATTTATTAAAATGCTGCATTATCAACACATTTTCCAGATGTTTTCTAAAACACAGTTTCCAGTACCGGTAAATATACATTGTATAGTATAAATCTAAGATAAATGGAAGATGCATTTTCTTAAATACACAAGTCCACGTGCATTAGAGTTTAATATTCTTTAACTAATGGACTTTAAATTAACACTGGGAATTTATTTCAACTTAAATTTCTTGATGGATATGCCCTGGGAAACACTGGGAAGCAATTTCCCATTGGAGTCAGCTGGAATCTCAACCTCCAAACATTTGTACGCAGGCCTACATGTTCTCATGTGAGTAAGCAGTATTTACTCAGCCGTTGTGCAGAACTAGTCATATGAGTAGAAACTAAAGTCATTAAGAACTGTTTACTGAGTAACAATGTATCAGGTGCATAAGTGTTGATAATTTTTAAGTGTTGGTCCTTTTGAAATAAAGCTATGCAATTACTAACAAATTAAGTAGTTGTTGTGACTAACATATATAATTTGGCCAAACAAAAGTATATT